CACCGGCTGAGCACTGAGGACAGAAAGAAAAGAGGTCACTTATTAAACAGGCCTTTACTGAGCCCACTGACCTTCAGCCTACTGGGTGCCAGGTTTTCAAGGTGTCAACGGGGGCTCCCTTGCAAGGAGAGCCCTGCCTGGCTAGAGGAAGACTTGAGCCAAGAACTGTATTTTAAATGGCACCTGCTGCAATGGGGCTCAGTTCCCAGAGGGATGGACACTTCACCAGAAGTGAAAGATGCTTGGAAGAGCAGGGGTTAGCAGGGGAATGGAGGGCGAAGGTGTCAAGGAGAGTGCGGTGGTAACTCAAGTTTTAATCTGTATTTCCTTGGCTGCTGATCCCGATGAACATCAGTTCATGTGCTTGTGTTCCAGCCAAGTACCCTCTGCCACCAAACAGCTATTTGCATCATGTGCTCACCTTCCATTGGATAACATGTTTGCTTGCATTGTCACTATTTAGTTTTGAGAGATTTTACACATTCTAGATGCTTTTCCTTCACCAAATAAGTGGTTTGCACGTATTTTCTCAGTGCAAAGCAGAGACATAAAGGGACATATATGTCCTAGTCAATGTATATGAAGATTTTGTCACTTTTGTTGAAACATCTGGGACCATGAGTGAAAGATATAGTAAGTATCTAAAAAGTTTCAAACCATCCCTACGGGCAAATTAGATGTGTAGCTTGAGTGAAAATCAACCTGTAAATGGTCAAAATTTGACAGAATTGTATCAGAAAGAGTTCTGCAATAATTTCATGAAAAACTATAAATAAATGAACAGATGGAAGACCTGTAGAGTAGAGGAAGGGGAACAGGGGGAGGGAGGAGATGAGGGAATGGGGTAGCACCAGGGACTAAAGAGGAGTCAATTATACTCCATGTATATAGAAACTCTACATCATCTAACTACGATGCACTAATAAAAAATTTAAATGAAAAAGGTATTTACTGGCTAGAAACTTCTCAATGTTTTTCTCTATGCCTTACCAATGACGGCAAATACTGCCATTATCCTGAAAACTCTAATTTGAAAATAAACTCGATAAAGAGCATCTACAAAGAACTACAACTATCATCATATTTAATAGCAAAAGAATGAAAAGTTTTCTCCTAATACCAGAAACAATGAGGATGCCCATTCTGGCCACTTGTCAAATGTAGTTTTAGAAGCTATAACCACTGCGATAATAGGGGACGTGGGGCAGGAAGCATGTAGCTTGGAAAGAATTAAACTACTCTTATCTAAGTTGGCATGATGGTCTAAATAGAAAACCTGAAGAAATTTGAGAAAAAAAAAAAAACACCTCATAGTTCTGAATTAAGTAAATCACAGGATATATAATTTCTATATGTTCACAACGAATACGCAGAAATCAAAGTTAAAAATTCAAAATCACACTTGTTCCAAGGAAAATACTGATTTATGGAAAGAATAAAGCAAGCAAAGGATCGTCATACTAAAATGGACATTATGCTGATAAAAAGAAAGGAAAAAACACATCACCACCACCACCACCACCACAGAGGACTAAACAAATTGTCATTGTTTTGATTTGAGGTGTCCCCCAATGCTCCTGTATTCATGCAGAATTGTTTGTAGGTAAAATGATTGAACTGGGAGTGCTGTGACCTCATCAATCCATCTTGGTTTGAATGGGCTGACTGGGGTGACTGTAGGCAGGCGGGGTGCAGTGGGAGGAGGTGGGTCACTGTGGGTGTGCCCTGGAAGGGTACTTCATCCTTTGGGCTCTTCTCTGTGTCTCTCTCGTAAAGTATTTTGGTCACAGTGATGTACAAGCTGACTACAACAGATGTGGAAAGACATATTTATAGATTATTAAACTCTGCATAGCTGCCAAGTCACCTCAAGTTAGACATGCTTTAATGTAATTCCTATTAAAATCCAAGCAAGTTGCTTTTTTAAAAACGTGTTTTATACACACATAAGCTCATTATGAGATTAATTTGTAAAAAAGTAAATGCCGTAGAAACTATAGTAGCTAAAAAGTATCCTGACTCAGAAGAATGCAGTGGAAAGACCCACTCTACCTGACATTAAGGCTTCTCACACAGCTACAGAAATCAAGACAGGGTGGCATTGGTAGACAGAGAGATATGTAGATATTTACAACAAAACACAACATGCAGACATAAACCTATACAAACATGTCAAACTTATTTTTGAAAAGCTACAAAGTAATTTTGATAGAAGGGCAGCCTGTCAATAAGTGTTGCAGAAGAAATTGCACAATTGCAGTTTTAAAAAAATGAACTTTGACCTAAATGTCACTTAGAAACACAAATTAACTCAATATTGATCATGAACCGCAATGCAAAATATGGAAGCACAGGACTTTTACAGGATTTTAGAGAATAATATAGAACTTCTTTGGCATTTAGAAACTGGCAGAGTTTTTCAATGTGACACCAAATGATGGCTTACAAAAACAAAAATTAGTAAACTGGATATCAACAAAACTAAAGGCTTTTGCTTAGTGAAACTCCGCATGAAGAGGACGAAAAGCAAGCTACAGATTGGGAGAAAATGTTTAAAAAACAGCTGTTCAATAAAGAAAGAATATCTAAAATAAGTGAGGCCTCCCAAAACTCCATAGTGAAACCCACCATGGCATGGTCATAGATGCACGTAGCATAATCTCATCAGTTCCATTCCACGGTTCCTCCCTTTTCCTATCCACCCTTCCTTCC